TTTTTTTTTTTTTTTTTTCCATCCAATTCTCTGAAACCAATTTGTTACCTATCTGCTCGTTTGATAATTTCCTTAATTTCCGGTATAAATTCTTTCCTAGGAACTTCAGCGATACAAGTCCTTTCTTAATTAAAACTAGTTTATTCTTTCTCGATACAACTTTGTAATACACTTAACAACTTTTATAACACACGCTGTAAATCACAGTGATTCACACTTTACTTACGGTACATACTGTTCGCTTGACTCAGTTATCTCTGTCTTCAATCTATCTGCATATCTTTTTCACTGGCTATTATTTGCCAGGCTTATATACTAAAAAAGAGGGCACCTGGAACAAACTAGAGTTGCCAGGAAAATTCATGATCCTTCAAGAAACTCCTCGCACAGTGCCAATGTGCCAGCAGCATCACGTGACTTCCGCTGTTGTAACAGTAGCATGAAAACTATAACAAGCACAAAATTATTATGAGGTCAGTCCCAGGGACCAAGCCTTGGTTGAAATAGTTACATTTCAACATATCAGAGACAAGAATAACAGTGCCATTACATAAAAGTCCGCAACAACGTGAAAGATTGGTGTTTATTATCTTGTGTCACGCACAAAGATTATAGATTTTTGTATTACAGTACTTTGTTTTTGTCTCTTTCCCTTTCAGTATTTCATAAGTGCTAATGTTTTTTTATATAACTTGAAAAAAATGCTTTATAATCTTTAACACATCTCAAAGTTTTATTTTGCCATCTTAAAAACCCCAAAATTGTGTCTTGTTTTGTAAACATATCTCAAAATTTTATTTTACCATCTTAAAAACCCTAAATTATGTCTGGTTGTGTAAACACATCTCAAAGTTTTATTTTACTATCTTAAAAACCCCAAAATTATATATGGTTGTGTAAACACATCTCAAAGTTTCATTTTACCATCTTAAAAACCCTAAATTATAGCTGATTGTGTAAATACATCTCAAAGTTTCATTTTACTATCTTAAAAACTCCAAAATTATAGCTGGTTGTGTAAACACATCTTAAAGTTTTATTTTACCATCTTAAAAACCCTAAATTATGTCTGGTTGTGTAAACACATCTCAAAGTTTCATTTTACCATCTTACAAACCCTAAATTATAGCTGGTTGTGTAAACACATCTCAAAGTTTTATTTTACCATCTTAAAAACCCTAAATTATAGCTGGTTGTGTAAACACATCTCAAAGTTTTATTTTACCATCTTAAAAACTCCTAAATTATAGCTGGTTGTGTAAACACATCTCAAAGTTTTATTTTACCATCTTAAAAACTCCAAAATTATGTCTGGTTGTG